GTATAGTACATAGTTACAGAATTCAACTGTGAGTTGATTATCCCTACAGGAGATTCCACGATCAAATATAAGTCATTAAATCCTTCTTCATCCACCGTGTTTCCTGAACACAGCAGCCTCCTTGGTACGGTAGAGCAGAGCGTTTTTCTTCTGCTCACAGTCTGACTTGATCTTCCTCAGGTGACATATATAGACCGCACACGCAGCCCATATAACCACCGTTATAGCGGTTTGTAAAAATCAGGGGCTGAAATTGATGACTTGAACCAGTCCCAACATTGAGGCCGAGGACAATTAATTGTGCGTCGTCGTTAAAGACATCTCCTTGTTACAATAGAGCATGCCAAGTCTATCTGTGAAGTCACAATGTAGGAGTCGTGCATACATGCAGGCAGAGAAAGCTATGGCTCCTAATTCTTCTCATTAATCACCTGTCTACTGCACATCCTCTAGAGAAAAGCGCCCTGGTTCCTCTGAGGTAATTACAGCACTTGAAGGAACGCTCGCTGCAGCAAATGCTTATAAGTAGCCATCTTATCCCTCACTCCTCCTGCCCTTCATTTTTTGTCTGAACCGTGGAGCCAATAGCTTCTATGTCCTCTGGAGAAACTTCCTTCTGTATTGTGCAGCTCTCGCTCCTCCTCAGCTTTGTAGTCAGCAGCCTTTTCTTTTTTTATTTGCTTCTGTTTTTTTTCCAGGCACACATCCATTTGGCATCCGATGTGGGATAAATAAATTATAGCCTCTAAAATCAATGCTCAGTCCATGATGTAGGCTGTAGGCTTAGTGCTCGCCACCATGCTAGAATTATGCTCAAACAGAGGTATTTTGTAAGCCCAGGAGCCACACTGCTGTTCACTGTTTTTGTGCCATTGTGAAAAGTTATTCTCGGCTGTCTGACATTTTATTATTCATCATAAGTTTTCCTCGGCGATATTACTTTTCACTGCAGAAGCTGGTGGAGGTTTTGAGGTGTGATTTGTCTCAGGAAGCTGTTCATTTGTTCCGCAGCATCCTCGTTTGAACCGCTTTTGTTTTCTTTTTCCCACTAAATTCACAGCAGCATCTGGAAGCTGTCTTTAATTTCTCCGCAGAAGCACTCAGAAAATCTAAAAATAAATCAGAAACAGTGGCAAGAGTGGCGTTTACTTTTAAAGACGGAACAGTAGCGATGCAGTCGCTCAGTCCGTACGCTGTGTGTTGATGTGGTTTTGAAAGATTTATAGCCTTCGGTGGATCATGCCATCTCTCAAGGTCGTCGTAGGACTGTCAGAGTTGGTTTTAGGGTTTCTCGCATAAAATGTATCTCTAAACATGTCCTGAAAGTGGCAGGTTTCTATACTTTGCTCATGCTCCCTTTCTCTTTCTCTGCATTTCCAGATGGAGATGATACAAGAGCCCGATCCTGATGACGAGGGGACGAAAATAAGTGTAAGTACAAGAACGCATCACGTAGGCCGTTGCTTCTCGGCCGTGTGCCGTCGTGACCAAAGTTGGCAGTGTTTCATTCCGAGCAAACACAACAGCAGCTGATTTCCTCGAATAATACACCTTCAGCCAGAGAAAGGAGCTAATCAGTGAAATCAGTGGCAGTGTATTATTACTGTCAAAGTGGTTCCCTCCCCGCGCCCATGCTCCACCAACTATTCCGCCCCTTTTCCTGACACTCTGCATGCGCCTTCTGTGCCCGGTGCAGCACACAGCCTTCCTCTAAATGACCTCATTGGAGCCCTCAGACACTCAGGCAGGCATGTGTAATGGAAAGTGACAGATTTACGATCAAGCGAAGTTTGTAGATGCTGGTTTCTTAGAAATTGGGTCAGTGATTTTCTGTGTTATACACGCTCCTTGCCTGTATGACAGTCGTCTAGCAGAAGACGAGTATTTAAAGTAGTAGTATTGTTCTTACATTTCAGTAATTAATGTGTTATTATTAAAGGGAACTTATTATGTCTCTTCTTACATTCTGTCATATGCATACTCTGACGTATGTGCGTGCTCTTATGTGTAGTGGTTAATGCTTATGGTAGAAGTTGGCAAAGCGTCAAAGTATGGGGTCGTTTTATGTGAAAGTGAGTCAAAAGCTCAGGCATCCAAGTGTCCTGTTTAAGAAGCAGCCAATCAGAGAAAAAGGTTCCTGAAAACTCAAATTATGAGTCTCAAATTGAGAACTGGAATAATGGGAAGCAGCTCAGTGTGTTCTTCAAATATTTTTCAACTTCTTGAAATACAAAAAAAGTCTCAAACAAGAAGGTTGAGGCAGTATAACTACACAGAGAATCTGTGACCCGAACATGTTATGTTTCCCCAAACAGTGTCAGTATTATAAGTATATTTGAAGTTTTGTTGATGTCTGCTGACTGCGTGCAAGTATACATTTGCGTCCAGTTCAGTTCATTTTTATTTCAAACATTTCAAACATGAGCCTTCACAATCATTACAAAATATTATTCCATTATTTGTTTTGAAAGGAGTAGGCAGAAGTATTTACTTATTTGTCCCCCTCAAGTTTTACCTCTCATTCATTTAATTATTTTTAGTCTTAAATTAAACAAACAACATATGAAACAAAAGTAAAGCAAAACAAAACAAAACAAAACATACATAAATCAAAAACAAGAAATTAGCAAGACCCACCACAGTATCGTTTCTTTTATATGAAAAATACAGAATGTGTATATTTGCAGATACACAAGTTATGGAAACACAAACAAACCAAAAAAGAACCACAACACCATTACCA